GGCCGAGATGATCGTCGCGGCGATGATGACCGCCGTGGAGGCCGAGATGATCGTCGCGGCGATGATGACCGCAGGGGCGGCAGCAGAGGCAATCGCCGAGGAGATGACGACCGACGCGGTGGTCGAGGTGATGACGACCGTCGCGGTGGTCGAGGTGACGATGATCGACGCGGCGGTCGGGGTGATGACGACCGTCGCGGTGGTCGAGGTGACGATGATCGACGCGGCGGTCGGGGTGATGACGACCGACGCGGTGGTCGAGGTGACGATGACCGCCGAGGAGGTGGCGATGATCGGCGGGGCGGTCGTGGAGGTGATGACCGTCGACGGGATGACGATGGTCGCGGCGGTGGAAGAGATGACGATGGTCGCGGCGGTGGAAGAGATGACGATGGTCGCCGCGGTGGAAGAGATGACGACGGTCGCGGCGGTGGAAGAGATGATGACGGAAATGGTGGAGGCAACGGTGGTGGAGGCAACGGTGGTGGAGGCAACGGTGGTGGAGGAAACGGAGGGCGCGATGATGATGGTTCCAGACCTGGAGATTGGGACTGGGAGTATGTTCCTATCTAGGCAGCTGGGATCTCTTCCCAGAAACTGGCTGCTAAGCAGTCAGCATTGCGAGCAACGCCAAAGATGCCAGTTTTCGGAGATGAGAGCACTTACTCATCTCATTAGCCAAAGGTTGCCTGCATCGCGTGCTGCAGTCGCTTAGAAAAAGCATGCACGGATCCCAGGCTTTGTTTCATACACCGCCATATATAGATCAACTGGTCCCTGCCGTGAAGATGGTCTGCAAGTAGTTTGATTGTGAAAAATGTTGAGCTGGCATATTGCAACATGGAGGAGCATGAGAGTAAGTGTCCCCATTGTTGCATTCGGCAGAGCTGGCAGTTTCATCACCACCATCACCACAGTCATCACCGACATGACAATTAGTCTCCATCGCAGTCACCACCATCATCGTCATCGTCATTATCGTCATCTTCTTTTGCGCCAGCAGGATCAGGTTCATCACACTGCCATGACCTTCTGCATGGTCGGCATGATCGTTCTCATCACCATCACCATCAGCATCGTCAGCATCATCGTGATCGCCTTCATCATGATGAATCATCGTCATCATCGTCATCATCATCATCATCATCACCACCTGTGGTCTGCACCCCCAATCACCAGCACCAGCCAGACGAGGACGAGCACACAACCAGCATGCTAGCAACAACAACAACAACAACATTAGCAACAGCAGCAGCAGCAGCAGCAGCAACATCAACAACAACAGCAACAACAACAAACAGAACCGTCGCAGTGATAGCGACATCGGCGACAACACTGACGAGGACTATAGCCAACACATGTACAGGAACAAAAAGAGCAGCCATGGTAGCGGCAGCAGCAGCAGCAGCAGCAGCAGCTCCAGGAACCGGAAGAATGCGACGAGTCGTTTTCGTCATCATTCTGACGATCGACACCATCACCGTCAGCATCATCATTATCATCATCATCATCGTCATCATCATAATCATACATCATCATCATCATCGTGTCATCACCATCATCATCATCATGATCCCTGTCATCACTGCCATTGTTGTCGGAGCTGTCGCTGAAGCCTCACCTGTGTTTTCTTCATTCGTTTTCCCAGATATCACTAGCTTCATCTTCACCAGTCTTGTCATCTTAATACTGACCATCACCGTCATTCCCTATCCTTGTTATCGCCATGGTCGGAAGATCCTTCATGCCGGAGTTGTGTGCATGTGTCGGAAAGACCTCCAAAGCAGATGATGGCTGTGTCTGTAGTTTAGGTTTTAGGGCAGGAGTGAAAGGACATCTGAACTTGAGTGGATCCAAAGACTTTGAACCTCTGAAGCGTGCGACCTGCAGCACGTCTACAACTAAAGCCAAACCTCTCCCCCATGGGAATTAGTAACCAGGGTTGTAAATGAGGTAAGCATACTTATAAGCACTTATAGCACCATTTAATGTAACATAGGGGCCTTTAAAATTGCAATAGGGCTGTTGGGTACAGCATATTATACGTGTTACAGGAACCAGAAGGAAGTGTATCGGCAATTATTCAGGCTTGTACATTATCCAACCGGATGGGGCAACGCTGCAGTTGCTTGTCTGGGTTCCTGCTACGGAACTTATATAATTTCAGTTGCCACAATAGGGATCCACAGCAAACAAGGCGGTTTCCTTATTATAGTTACTTAAACTGAATTCCTCACGCCCTAAAACCTAAACCCTGAAATTGATTGAATTCCGTAACGAGAACTGAGTGGTCCAAATTGAAGGGTTCTTAGGGTTGCCCCAGGAGTTCAATCTCCGAGCCGCCCTACGTGCACTCCTATGGCAACATTTAAGAAAGGTGTAAAAGACATATGAAGCCCTACAAGCCCCTGCAAAAAAAATCGATGAAACCCTATAAGCCTGTTGCGAAAACATCCTAAGCTCTAATCCCTATAACCCCCCTTCCCCAAGAAGTTCTAAACTTTTACCGTCCCTCTCTGCTGCCAGATACGCGTTGTTGGTGGCTCCAGGAGATCACTGGGTGCACTGGCCGGATCGCAACTTGCCTCTTAGGGTTCTAGTAGTTTAGGGTTCTATACGGGCTGGTACTAGGGGTTTGATAATGGGTTCCATCATGGGTTCTATGGTTTAGGGTTTATTGATGCGGGGGATTTCTTTTGGCGTGCTGTGTTGTTCAGTGGTATACTTGTTTGCTTGCACTTTATCTTCTGGGTTCCTATTATAGAAGAAACTAACCGTCAAGTGTATGCTGTTCCCCCAGCGGCTTTTACTGAACAGCATAGAATAGGGGTTCTCTTTGTGTAAGGGTCTGAATGGGGTTCGGGGTTCCGAGGGAGGTGGGATTTATGGTTTGGGGTTTGGGGTTGAGAATTCCCAGAGAGCCCAAAACCTGTTACTTAAGCAGTAGACCTTAAATTGTGGGAGGCCTTCGATCGTATGGTTCAAGCAGGCATGCGCGCCGCATTCATCTGCGGTTGCATCAGAAACCCCCGCTATCAGCAGCACGATCACCAGCGAGCCAGCAAGGATGACTAGCAAGCTACAAGTAAAGAACGTTTGTATCAGAGTTGCGTCAGTAACAATGACAAGAAGACTGCTCATCGCGATCGCAGGGGCAACACCACGAGCAGCAAAAACGAGCAGGAGGCACCCCCCCCCCCCCCCCCCC